TACACACAATTGATAAGTAGTATTTTGAGCCAAAAAGCGAGCCGAACATGAATGAACAAATCTTTGTTCGTTTTCAACTCTTTAACTTAGCGAACGAGCCAAACACGAACTGTTCATGAACAATGAATCGTTTTTACAACCCTAGCATTAATCAAAGTAATATGAGGCCAATCATGTAAACTTAAAAATGCCAACCACCATTTTGACTACAATACAGGTATCTGTAGTTTTGGAAGTTTAGCTCTGCTTTGTTTATCGAATCATCGGTAGACTTATTGTAAATAGACATCGATATATGATAATTGTGGCAACACAACTATAAAGAGGAATTGAGCAACACTGCGTGATTGAACATCATCATGTAAAACACCTAAATCTCATATTTGCCCAATGACACAAAGCATTAACTAGGGGTGTAACACGAGGCTGGCTCGCTTGTGTTCGGCTCGTTTATATTTCAAGCCCAAACAGTGTGTTCGTGTTCGGCTTATTTGTTTAGCGAGCTAAACACGAGTTGTTCACGAAAAAGAGTCGTTTTGACAACACTAATCACGTAGCCATAAGATGTTAAGGGTTGGGACATGATTTAAAAAATATTGTTTATATTAAAACATCAACATCATTTGAATCTAGTTTAATAATTTTTATTCTATTTTGTTAATTAATATTTTTAACTTATTATAAATCCTTATAGTGTTGTAGTCAATTAATTTTTTTTATAAAGACTACTCAACAATATATATATATATATATATATATTGGATAAGTTATATTTTGAAAAACAAGCCAAACACGAAGAAACAAATCTTTATTCTTGTTCGGCTCTTTAACTTAGCGAACGAGCAGGACGAACACGAGCTATTCACGAACAACGAGCCGTTTTGACAACCCTGGCATTAACCAAAGTAATATGAGGCCAATTATGTAAACTTAAAAATGCCAACCACCATTTTGACAAGCTTGGTAAGAAGTAAAGCTTCAGCTCATCATCAGCATTCTTATGACACAGATTTTGGTGCAATTCACTTGGTAACAAGAGCAAGGGAACAATTGCTATCTATGTTGCAGGGAGAAAATAGAAACAAATTTCTTCTATTTCTCCCCAGATAAAGTGCAGAAAGAATATTTCTTTTTAATATGTCAATATGAGAGCCTTTATACCCAGAAAAGATTTTAAAGCCCTCAAATTTTAGCCTTCCATCACAAATCAGCATATTAAATGCAACAACTTTTGAATTATTCAAGTATTTTGATGAAGCATTTTGTGTTTGGTGCCTTTCCAATGGCAGTTCAGACTACAAGATGAACTAACAATGTTTTAAATGGTATGAAATTAACTCATATAATCATATTTACATTAGTAATAGAAAACCTAGTATTAATTCATAATAAGAATTTAGTCTGGCATTAGTATCTAAATCAAACCAATTTTCATTTGGATACCAAATTTTAAAGATAAGAAACATTAGTTTTTGATAGGAAAATGGTGGTGCACAATACAAAGCTCTTAAAATTAGATAGCAAAATGAGCATACTTGGGGGACAAAAATTTGCGTACGTAAGACGTTTGCAAAGCTGCGTACATCGGAGGTTATTCAGAGGGTATTGGAGGGTTATAACCTCTGTAACATCTCTGTAACCCACCTATAACCCCTCAATACCCTCTGAATAACCTCCGATGTACGCAGCTCTGCAAACGTCTTACGTACGCAATTTTTTCTCTACTTGGGGACATGTATTTCCTTGGTTAAATTATATTTGGCCTTATAATTTTTATTTCTTTTTAAAAAAAAAATAATGCAAAATGTGTAGTATTATTGTAAATTTATTTTAAGTGCATGTGCATGGGTGAATATTTGTTAATTGCAAAGACAAGATACTCTCACTCTACCAATATGAATTTTCCTACACAGAACTAATTGGTTTGATCTTAGTGCAAGATCCATTCATCTCTTATGATATATAAATTATTATTCAGTGGCTGATAACCAAATATATAATAAAGGATAATGTAACAACTAATTTCAAATGTTGATTTTGAGTCATTATAAGATAATTTTGATGTTAGTAGGTATGTTTCTATGGGAATAATGGTTAAAAATGGTAATTCAAATTTATCTAAGTATATCTTAAGATGTGACAAAAAAATGTGGTTAAAACATAAAGGGTTTATGGTTTTTGGTGGAGAGAATGTTAGGACTAGTTTAGCTTAAGATAGATTATGCTAATTTAGATGTTCACATTAAGAAACTGAAGTTAGTATGAATGTTACATTATGAGTTTAAGTAGATGGTAAGAAGTGGAGGACATTATGGTACAACAAAACTATTAATTAGCGTCAGAAGTTTTGTTGGATATTTTTTCAACGAAAAATTTGCATCGAATTTACACCCTATTACCATCGAGTGCAGCCAAATATAGGAAACAAAGTCACAAAGAATTTTTTTTTTGTTTAGCATCAGATTTGTTAGACGCTATAATTTACTTAATAACGTTATAAATTTTTGAAGCTAAGCTAGACGCAAATGCTCTAAAAAGGCTTCCCTCTTGACCCATGCTCATTTCACTCGAAATTGCTTTGTCTCATGGTGGGCGGTGAAACCGGCGACTCTCATGCGAATTCGGCAAATCCAGCGACTCCGGCCACTTCGAGCAACTTCGACAACATTTCCATTGGCCAACCCGCATCTCGGGCAAGGTGAACTCTCTAAGCTTTTAATAATGTTTTTTTTCTCGAGCCCCCCCTCTTGAAATTTGGGGTTATTAAGTTTCCGTTTTATATACATTTCATGTTTAGATGTTAGGTTGCAAATGTTTGATGTTGTTATTATGTGAATAATCATTTTTTTTTTTCTGAATATTCAAAGTTTGAAGTCTAGGTGTTTGATATAAAATGCATAAAATGGGATATATGTAACTATATATATATATATATATATATATATATATATAGTTCAATAATTATGTTTTGCTATGTCTATGCTAAATATGAATTTTTTTTGTCAATATTTTTTTATGTGTGCACTATGATGGAGAAGTTCTTTTTAATTGGTGCCTTGACCATGTCAAAATGGGAAATATTGAAAAATAATTTGATTTACTAAAGGTGTTTTGTAGCTTATGCATCATAAATAGGAATGGTTTCTTATGTTATTTGACTTAAGTTTATGTCAAGCAAATACATACACATATACACACTTAAGTAAATTAGATGTTACAGATATATATGATTTCTGTTACGAAAGGTAGAGGTAGACCGAAAAAGACCAAGGCTCGTTGTATAGAAAATGATTGTAATTTGTTATAATTAGATGAAAAATATGGCACTCAATTCGACACAATGAAAAAAAAAAAAGATTCATGTAGCCGACCTGACTAAATTTGTATGTATGTAATATATGAGATTTGTATTGTCTATATAACGAATTTATAATGGTACTGATTTGTAGATCTACATCTATGCTACATATGAATGTTTGAAACGTGAGATCATAGATTTATAACAAATTATATCCGGGAAGAAAATGACTAACTGACGAGATTTAACTGGTGTTAAAGAGTTCGTGTAGGTGGCATCACAACTACTCATTGACCTTTCGAAAGGAAAGTTTCGATGCCCCCATGCGAAACACAAGAATCATGTGTATCTGACGCCTTACAAAGTGAAGTTGGAATCTATACCATAGAGGATTTAAACTCGATTTTTAGTAATGAACTTCACATGGAGAATTTGAACCAAATGTTCGGTACGATCATGCTAGAGTCTCATCAAGTTATTCCCTTGCAGCTGTTAATGATTCTGGAATGTATGAGAAAATGATGGTTGATGCCATTAGGGTTCATTTTGTTAGGAGTGTGACTGATGATGATTAAGAACCTAACAGTGAAGCACAATAACTCTATGAATTATTAAATGGCACACAACAACCTTTGCGGGAATTATGCATTTCACATATAGAGTTACAGGTCACCTTGAGAATGTTGAGTATCAAATCTGATTTTAATATACCAAGGAAATGCTTCAACCAAGTAGTAACATTATTAAAGGAGACGAACACTATAGATAAGTTAGTTCCAGAAGATTTGTATAGGTAAAGAAGTTAGTGTCAAAGTTATGGTTACTATCTGAAAGGATAGATTGATTCGTTAACGACTCCATGTTATATTATAAGGAAGATGTATTGGAGACAAAATGCTAATTTTGCAGTGCTGATATGTTCAAATCAATGGGGACGAGTTAAAAAAAAAGTATTTCTTACAAACGTCTCTTTTACTTTCCTCTCATTCCAAGACTTCAGCGATTGTTTGCTTCCATGTGTATAGCTCCTTGCACGACATGACATTGTACCAGATCTATTGATGCTAATACAATGACTCATTCTTTAGCTGATGAAGCCTGAAAAAACTTCAAT